AGCCGGGCTGCGCCCTCCTCCGAGAGCCGTCCGCGTCGGAAGATGCCCGAGGTCCCCGCGGAAGAGGCGGGAGGCGGCGCCGCCCGGCGGAGGCGCTGCTGCGCGGCGCGCCCGCGCTCCGGCGGGCCGGGGAGGCGCGGGGAGCCCCGATGTCCTTCAGCGCCTCGGAGGTGAACGACGCGCGGCGCGGGCGCGGGCGCCGCGGGTGGGGAAGCCCGGAGACCCCCGAGGGGCGTGCGCGGCGCGGTCTGGGCGCGCGGCAGGCGAGCCGCGGAGGCGGGGCGGGCGGCGGCGCCTGTCACACGCCCGTGACAAAGCTCGTGGGGGGGCATCCCCCGGCCTGCCAGCCGCCCCGCCCGGGCGCGCGGGGGGGGCGGGCTTCATCCTCCGCCGGGGAGCGCCGGGCGCCGGGGAGGGGGACGCGGAGGCATCCCCCCCCGCTGCGCCGCCGGGTTGTCCGCCGGCCGCTCCCGGGAGCAAGCGGGGGAGGGGTGGCGGCCCCCCCGAGCCCGCTCCGGAGACCTGCTCTGTGCGAGTCTTCTGGACCGCGGGACGAATCAGCCCCAAGGCGTTCCTGCTGCCGTTCCTTGGATTAATCCACTCGGCGCTGTTCGGCTCCGGAGCCTCGCCGCGCCCCACAGGGAAGCCAGAGATCCGCCTGCAGTGTACCGGGGAGGGTGGGTGTTGGGGAGCACCCCACGGGCGGAGAGGGAAGGACGTGGGGCTGTGCGCTTTCCCTGCGGGGGGGAGCGCTCTGAAGCGCACGGGAAATGAGTGAGTCATGATACACCGCGGGGGGGGGGGAGAGGGAACTGTCCCCAAAGTCACCCTGATTTTGGAAAGGGTCTTAACAGGGACAGGGGGTGTCGCTCCCTGAGTGGGGTGCATGAATTAAAATCTGGGGGGAGGAAGCAAAGAACCCCCGAGTTCTGCAAGACACAGACTTGACACCCACCCCCACAAACGGCCAGTTTCAAACTGGAAATAGCGCCCCCCTGCGGGCCAAAGGCTCCACTCTCCTTTTGGGTATTTCAGATGTTGCCCCCAGAGGAAGGACCAATGTGGCTTTTGTTCCAAACAAATCGCTGTGGGGGCTTGGCAGGGACGAGGGGGCTTTCCGAAGGGTGGGAGTGCGGCCAGCCTCAGGGCCCGTCCAGCAAAGCGGAACAACGCGCAAAAGGGGGAATCCAAGCATGCACAGAGCGGGGTTTGTTGCTGCTTTTGCTGACCTGTGCACAGACCTGGATCTGGACCTGCCCTTTGTCACCGGGGGCTCCCTGGCATGACTGCCCCCCAGCCTCAGTTCCCCTGCCTGTGCAACGGGAAGAACTGTAGTGTGGCAAGCAAAGCAAGCACAGAGGCGATTTAGATGCAAGGCTGAGAATAGAATGAGGGCAGCCATCGATGAAGCCGCCAGCGGGGCTTCCTTGAACCGGGATCCGAGACCCACTTTTCCGTGCTGCAGTTGGAGAAAGGCTTTCCTGAGCCTGTGCAGAGGGCTCCCTCCCTTCACCAGAGACCCTGTTCTATGCACAGCTGGACGGACAGTCCGCGTCCACTCCACGGGGTGGGGGAGAAGGAAGCGGGAAGCGGGAGGTTTCTAGGCAGGACTGGCCTGAGCGCCTCTTTAGGGGCTTTGTGTACGAATTAACCCTTGACTCACCTCTCCCTGTCAGTGTTTGCAAGGCCTGGGGAGGGAGCGCCTGGCATTTGGGTCGAGGGGAGGGGGACAAGGACGAACAGCGCCTTCCTTCCACGGTCGATGGAAGCTGTGCGGTAAATTATGGGCTGACGGACCGGCACTAAGTCTGCAAAACGAGCACGGGGAGCCCACCCCATCGCCCAGCCACAACTACCCCCCCAACGGCCGATCTTAGCATCTCCGGGGAGCGGGAGGAGAGCATGCGAGGCCCGGGAGATGCAGGACCCGAAATGACATTCACACCCCTTTCCTGGGATAGGCGGAGGAAGATGGTTGAACTGTTCTTGGCCTCCAGGAAGGACTGATTTATGAGCTGTCTTCGGTGAAGGAAGGTGCCAAGAGCTGCTGAATTATGCAGGGAGAAGCCCTTTCTCTGCAGCACCCGCAGGAGACCTGGAGGAAAGGCAGTGCTTGCGTCCCCCGGATGGCAGGCTCACTACCGGTGCGCAGGCCACCGGAGCTTGGACAGGTCGCAGCCTTCCACTGGCGGATGAGCCCAGAGCGGGCGTTTCTGCAAGCCTCACGAGGGACCGTCGCCAGCGAGTCGGCCGCGTAGCTCAGACCCGTCTCCGGAACTTGTGCACACGCGCACAAACGCAGCCCAGGCACTGTTCTTTGGCTCCCACACCCCTTTTCCCAGCCTCGAAATTCTGCTGCCTGGCCAGTCCCCCTGCCAGCAAAGGATTAGCCCTGTTCCACTGCCCACATCGACAATGTTCCCCGGTTAAGCGGGCCCGTTCCTTCCCCACAGAAGCGGCACCGTTTGTGAGGGTTCCCTTGCCGGCACCGGGTGGGCCTCCCTGAGCAGCCCGTGACTTCACAGCAGCTCAGCCGGGCGTTGGGGGGCAGGGGGCTTGCAGCGGGCTGCCATTTTCGGCCTGCCGCAAAGACACCCCCCCTTTTGTCCACTGCCGCCCTCCAAGGTGGTCCGAGGCCCCAGGCTGAGAGCGGGCACCATGCCCCCGCTGTGGCGACCAGGAGGCAAGCGGAACTGTGGTCCAGAAGGCGACGAGGCGCACGCTCCGTGCCTCGGCCGCTCGCCTGCAGCTTTCTCGCCTCCAGCACCGCAGCTGCAGCCGATTCCAGGGCGACGCCAGAGCGGGAGTGGCGCTCAGCCCCCCGTGGGCTCCAGAAGGGTAATGTCGGACCCCGTGCCCGGCAATCTGCCCGCCCCTGCCTGGGATCGGCATCAGCGGGCCCCTCGCCAAGCCAGCCCGAGCCCGCTCCTTCATCCAGCCGCAGCAAGGCGCCTCAGCATGCAGCCCATTGACTTCTACCTCAGAGCTGCACGTGGACCCGTGGCTTTGTGGCCGGCATTGTGTGGCGTCGGAGAAGTGTGTACAGCAAGCGCGGAGTCCGCTCCCCGCAGATCCTTCCTCTCCCTCCACCTTTCCCATTAAAATTTCATGCAAATCTTTAAAGAAATGGTGTGAAATTACATAATGCCAGTGAAATAACCATGGAGGACTTGCTCCATCCCCTAGTTCTGCATGGGGCGAAAAGCCATGGGGTGTCCCAAGGGGGCGGGCGCCTCTCGCCTCCAGGGGGGGCAGGGCTGCTGTGTCCACCGCAGCTTGGAGGAGGCGACGCTGGGCAATCTGGTGTCAACACAAGGAACGTTTGCCGCGCGGCCTGCGTCATGCCCGGCCTGCGGAATTTGCCTGTGGGGCAGGTCTGGGTCACAGAACAGGCTGCTGTGGCCAGATCTGAGCCCAGGGATTCTGGCTCTCAAAGGAATTAAGTTTAGACTAAAAAGAATTTTTTAAAAGGGGTGGAAGAGGTGAAGATGAAGGCTTCGCTCAACTTGGTGCCCTCTGGATGTGTTTGACTACAGCTCCCATCATCCTCGGCCCAGAAACAGCTTTCAGGAAGAAGCCTGGCCCTTAAGCTGCATGAAGCTACGTAAAGAACGGGGCATCTGCCCATGCACAGAAGGAATATGGAGAGTCACCAGTCCCCGCAGAGGAGTTTGAGGAATTGCTTCCTGGAGGAAGGGAAAATGCAGGAGAATATCCAGGCGCTTCCCCTGTGGAAAGGGATCAGCCCCTCCACGTGGGGGTGCCGTGGGCCTGCGGGGGGCCAGGCGTTCCCCACTGCAGTGCCGCTTGCGTGCAACAGCGCACCAGCCAAGCTCGGCCTCCTCCTCGCTTCCGAGGAGAGCCGGCTCCGGCCAGGATCTGCGGGAAGGGGAGAAAATGCACCAAGTTCCACGGGGGAAACATTTTGGCAAGCAGAGCCGGGATGTTCCGAGCAATGTTTTTCTGGGAGGCAGGGAAATTACCAAGTATAAACACACGCAAGAGCCTTTGAAAGGCAATGCGATGCAAATCGCGTTCAGCATGAAAGCGTGTCCGCTCGCCTGCCTGCGTTTCTTTCGGGGGGCTTGTTTTTGGAAAGCCTACGAAGGGGCTTGGGGCGCGAGGGCCAGCAAGGGAGGCCGGGCCAGCCGTGTCCCGCTGCAGCGGAGACCCTCCCGGGCCACCCTCCACCGCCCGGCCTGCCCGTCTCCGCGTCTCCAGGGCCGAGACCCACAGCGCAGCCTCATTAAATTCTCACACTCCAGTGCACGCTGCTCGCCAAACGGGGAGCGAGCCGGTGACGGCAGCTGGTTCACCCCGAGCCCCTTGCCCCGGGGCTGGGGTGACATTTGGCGGGGGCAGAGGAGCACGCGGCCGGCCTCACACGAGACACATGCCTGGCGCGTGGCCCCGGAGCCTGCCTTCCTGGAGCAGGAACCATGCGGGGGCGGACGAGGCTGGTCTTCGCCCCCCCCCCCCCCGGTTGCTGCCATCCCTTTTATTCCTCCGTTCCGGGCTCGTGCTTCTGGAGGAGGACGGCTCACCCCATCCACAGCCCACGGGTGCCCCTGAGCATGTGCAGACTGCCAAGGGGTGTCCTGAAGCTGTTTTGCTCTGGCTGGAAATGCCTGAGTTGCAGACTGTTGTTCTTCTCCGGGAAGCGCTTCCCGACTGCCCCGAGAAGTTTCAGCAGGCGCTGCTCAGCCTTCCTGAACAAGGGAAAAGGCTGCGCAAAGGTGGGGAGCCCCCCAGAGCGGGCCACTGGGGGCAGGGTGAGTGGCCACCGAGGGACTG